ACCAAATTTTATATGGATATCTTAATTTGGTAATGAGTTATGCGCGTTTAAGTGATTTTCGGGAGGGGACCTTGTATGGGAACTATGTCCAATTATGAACCGATCCAAAAATTTTTTTCTCTGAATGAATTCTATTGACATAAGATTTTAATTTGTAAAATTCTGGGAATATGTACTTTTGTATGGAAGCTACATGAAATTGTGGACCGATTCTTGTCATTTTCAGCAGGGATCAAGATCTTGTTTAGAAACGAATGTACGGTGATTTTCATGGAATTATCTTGCATAGTTTTCGATCAGAATGTGTAAAAAATGCTTATTTTTTCGAGGTTGTTTTAAATTTTGATTCATAACTTTTCCCGGTGTGAACCGATTTTGCCCATTTTCAATATCAAACAACTTAGGAAAATGAAGAACATTTTGGGTGAATTTGGTTAAACTCTATTGCTTCGTTTTATCGTGAGCGTGTTTTACACAGACAGAAGGACATAGCTAAATCGACTCAGAATTTGATAAGGACCCAGAATATATACTTTGTTGGGTCTCAGATGAATATTTCTTGGTGTTACACACGGAATGACAAAGTTATATATACCCTCTATCACCACTGATGGTGGTGGAGGGTATAAAAATGGACCGATTGGACTGATTTTAAATGGCGTTCTATTCTATCGTTTTTCCGATAGAGTTATTGAAAATTCGGATCTCGCAGATATCTGGGGTCTTCTGAAAACTGATTTCAGCATACACACAGACAGACGGACATGGCTAAATCGACTCCGCTATCTATAAGGATCCAGAATAAATATACTTTATAGGGTAGGAAAATTATATTATAGATATTATAAACGGAATGACAAACTTATACATATGTATATACCCTTCTCACGAAGGTGAAGGGCATATAGTAGTGGTATAGGCGAAACTGAAGGGGTTGTCAAACAAAATTTGTTATTTTCTTCACACAGACGAGTTCTGAGAGAATAAAACACACTTGAGAGAACCAAACGCACTCACAAAACTTCAAATTTTCTTCGCGAAATTTTGAAGATATTAGCACTTAATAGTTTTTCTTATCACTTAAACTTAATATTTATTATTTTTTGGGACACTTTTATTGTATTTAAGACCCCTAAAATAATTTATATTTTACAAACGAAAAAGAAATATTTTTTATTCTTTGACATTTCATTTTAATTAAAACTGAAAAAATAAAATTTGTTAATTTTCGTATTGAAAATGAAAAAAGTATTTCACATACTGTTTTTTCTTTTTTCATTAGTGCAGAAAAAAATAACATATAATAATATGTTTGAAGATGAAATATCTTCTGAAAAAAATTAATTAACTATTATTCTCATTCATTAGTATATAAAATCCCAGTAATAACATACAAACAATAACGTCTCAAAAATACATTTATTATTTAGTGCCTTTTGTTTATTTTTGTGCTTCTAGTAATACATTCTCACTAGTTAGGTTTTTGACAGCGGACTTAGGTCTTTGACAATCCCTTTCGCCTATGTGCTACTATATGGTGAAGGCTATAACAAAAAAATACCCAACTCAATGAAACCAACAGCCATCCAAACATACGAAACAAAATACACAACGCAATGAAACCAACCGACATCCAAACATACGAAACAAAATACACAACGCAATGAAACCCACAGACATCCAAACATACATATTATTTCCAATAAGTATTGTTGTTGTTGACTATTTATCAAAGCATGCAAAAAATTTTCTTTGATTTGCTGATTTGCTGATTTTAAATAGGAAACTTCTCGAAAGCATGTCTGACAGAATTGTTGAAGATTTTGATCCCGACGATATCTGGGGTCTTCAGAAAATTGATTTCAACAGACATGCTTTCGAGAACTTTCCTATTTAAAATAAATCCGTCCATAAGATATAAGCAAAAATCCGAGACAACCTCTGAAAATTTCATAAAAAATAAGCAACAACAACACTGCTTATTCATTGCGTTGTGTATTTTGTTTTTATACCCTTCACCTTCGTGAGAAGGACATATATAAGTTTGTGATTCCATTTGTAATTTTAATATAATTTTCCGACGCTATATAGTATATATATTCTGAATCCTTATAGATAGTGGAATCGATTAAGCCATGTCTGTCTGTCTGTTGAAATCAATTTTCTGAACACCCCAGATAACATCGGGATCAAAATCTTCAATAATTCTGTCAGACATGCTTTCGAGAAGTTTCCTATTTAAAATCTGCAAAATCCGTCCATAAACAACGGAGATATAAGCAAAAATCCGAGACAACCTCTGAAAATTTCATAAAAAATAAGTAACAACAATATATATTCTGGATACTTATTAAATTCTAAGACGATCTAGCTAAGTCCGTCCGTCTGTCTGTCTGTTGAAAACACGATAGTGTCCAAATGGAATTAGCTAGCGGTCTGAAATTTTGCACAGACATTTTATATTGATGAAGTTTGTTTGGTATTGAAAATGGGCAATATCGGTGCTCGATTTCGCCTAGCCACCATATAAGGTCCCCTTCAGAAACTGACTTTAACGCTCGTAACAGACTAAAAGAAGCAGATATAGTGATGAAATTCGACATAAACATATTTTATAGGAACCTTAATATCTTTGTAAAATTTTACAAGGATCGGTCCATAATTGACCCTATCCCCCATATAAGGTTCCCTTCAGAAAATGACTTTAACGCTCATAAATGACTAAAAAAAGCAGCTATGACGATGAAATTCGACATTAACATATTTTTAGGAACCTAAATATCATTGTAAAATTTTATAAAGATCGGTACATAATTGACAATTTCCCCCATATAAGGTCCCCTTCAGAAAATGACATTAATGCTGAAATTCAACATAAACATATTTTAAAGGAACCTTAATATCTTTCTAAAATTTTATAAGGATCGGTCCATAATTAACCCTACTCCCCATATAAGAAAATTACTTTAACGCTCATTACTAGCCTAAACTAAAATCGTTCTAGAAAATTTGACGAGGATCGATCCATAATTGACCTAACCTCCCCCCCAAATAAGGTCCCTCACAGAAAATTACTTTAACGCTTTTTACTCCCTTAAAAATACAAGTACATCGACAAAATGAAATAAATGAGAAAATTGTTTTGATAACAAAAGCATAGATTCTTAAATATCAAAGTTTATTTATAAGGAAGCATTCCTTTTCGGCAATGATTTGATGGTGGGTATACAAGATTCGGCACAGAACTCTTACTTGTTTTTGTTTCTTGGTGTATTTAGTTCTGTACGTTTGAATGTTTGTTGGCTTCATTGCGTTGTGCATTTTGTTTTTTTGTATATTTCGTTTCGTATGTTTGGATGTCTGTTGGTTTTACTGCCTTGTGTGTTTTGTTTTTTTGTGTGTTTATTTCGTTTAGCGTTGTTGTTGTTTATTTTGTTTTCCTATTGCTATAATAATGATATAGTCGGGAAAATGAAATAAATTTAAATTTTATAAAATTTTTAATTTTTAAATAAACTATGGTGAAGGGTATATAAGATAAGAATATAGCACTCTTACTTGTTTTTTATAATATTTGAATATCAACTATTTGGTTTACTAACTTTTTCCCTGCATATAAGTGAAATTATTCGAAATATTTTGATAAACGTACTAAAGATTTGTTAGAATAATGAAACAAATCCATTGATAATATAAAATCTTAAACGTAAACAAGAAAAAATATTGATAACAATTTAGTTTATTTAAAAAATCGTAAAAAAGGACCGATAAACTTTATTTACTTTTTAAAACTTTTTTATAGTTTGAAATTGATTTTTTAATTTTTCCAGTAAAAATGTTTATTATCATGTGGGGGATTAAAATGCTAAAATTGACTAACACATTAGCATTTTTACACGGCAATTACTTACCACAATCGCTTACAAGTAATTAGAAAATTTAGTCATTTTCTTTGTCAAGTTCAAATTTAATATTTTTGGTTAATTTTTATGTTGTTAATATTGTATGAAAGTATTTATTGTTGAAATTTTTATTTTTTTAATAAATACTGGAAATATGCCACAATTTTAGGGAGTCACAAATATTGTTTTAGTTAATGATACGGAATAGTGAAATTTAAATAATGAGAAATAAATCTGTAGAAAAATTAGAGAATAACACAATTATGTACATATGTGCAAAGTAAAGTAGAAATATCAGTGATTCAGTAGCAATAAAATAATTAACAACAAGAGTATTTTTTCTTTAATATTTCAAATTGGTTTAGGTTCCATATGTAAATATTGAGCCATATGGGCAATTCCATGAAAAGGTAAACCACGACTGAAAAAATAAAACCCTTATAACTTCTGCATTTTTGAAGATAATTCAACAAAATTTGGTATATGATCTTTTGTAGCACCAAAGACGAAGACTGTTGAAAATTTTTGAAATTGGTCTATTTTTACACCTCGCCGCCATACCAACGGACCCGAAATTATCACTTTTTAGCTCATAATTCTGTTAATTATAATACTATCCCTTCAAAAATCGCCAGATCTAAAATGTTTATAAGACTAAACCTTTATGTCGATTTTAATAACGATTGGATCTCATTTGACCCTAGTTCCATTCAAAGTTTAATTTCAGAAAAACACTTAAACGTCCGTAACTCACCTCTAATCACTAGTATTATGATAAAATTTGGCACAAATAAGTTTTATATGAATTAAAATCACACCCTAGAATTAATCGTATTTAATAGCCCATATGTTAATGAAAAGTTTATGATATTGTGTTATATTCCAGGAAAAACTTACATTGAAAAGTAATAAGTAATAAAACTATTTTTCACTATTTTCACTAGAATATCGAAAAATCATAGAAACCTCAAAAAAGGGTTTATCCTATGATGCAGCTCACTAAATATTTTTGGGAAATGGTATCATAGAATTTATTTATTTTCGGCAGAAATATATTATTTGAGTATGTTACATACATACATAATTGTTTACACTTACCATATATTTAATGAAACATTACAGCACAACGAGAAAAACCAAAAGTAATAGGATAATAAAAAGAATTGCACGACATATCCTACATTACGTTCATCCAAATTAAATATATGTACTAGGAAGTACAGAAAGTAACCTGTTGCTAAAGAAGATGACATACAGCTCAGAATTATTCCATGTAAAGATCTTAGTTCCTTTATTCGCAGATGTAGGTAAGCAACTAATAAAAGACAAGGTATAGATAATAGCATTAGAATGGCAACGACGACAATCTGACTGCGACTTATATGCTCTGCCACCGAAGTAATGCAAACAATAGCGAATGTTATGCCGGATATATTATTTATATCTATGCAATAATTATTATACAGTTCATATGAATCGTTTGCATATAAATCCATTACGAGTAACGAGCCATCCTGAATTACAAAAAACAAATCATCTACATCGTTATATAAGATTGATCTGTAAAATAAAAAAAAAATTATATATATATAATAATAATGAAGTGAAAAGGAATACAATGTCCTAAAAGGAAAACTGGACGTATTTCACATTAATTTTTAATTTAATAGATGGTATATTAAAAAATTTCTCTTAATATTTTAACTTATTATTTTGGAATATTCCACATTGGAATATTCCACATGAAAAAAAAAAAAACATTAACAATTTTAAGTCAAACGCAAATTCAAACAAACAATTAAAATTCAGATTTTTGATCTTAAACATTTAAAAACAATATATGTATGTAGATCTATTAAATATGTGCAATGCACATTGGCATCTTATTATTCGGTAGGTGATATATGAAATCTGTACGAAATATTCCTAAAATCGTCCACGACATTATTGAAAAGTACATATGTATGTATATAAATGAAAAAGTTTTCATTGGCAATTCGGGTATGAGTTGGAGAACAACTCTCGCTTCATCGCCATTATTTTTTTAAGAACGGTCAGGCTTTTTTTTGACTCTGTTTTATGGCTAAACATATGTTTATATGCTAGTGCTAACTTATTTTATTTCATTCTTCACGTAGTGTTGCTATCTTTAATGTGTATACATAAAACTTTTCGTTACATTTGAGGGTGTTTTAAAATGTGGCAAGGCAACGTATGACCAGAAACAAAAAAGAGCGATACAACAAGATTGAATATTTGAATTTGTCCATTATAGTTGAATATTTGCCTCTTTGATGTAGTCCGCAAGCATTTTGAGGACATCTATATCTTTATCTTTGAGGAGATCAAGTAGGTTATTATAATTATTAAAAAAGACGAATTTTGATCTAAGGGGTGTATATTTACTGCAGTCAAAAATTACGTGATTTTCCGATTGGCGTACATGACAGGTGTCGCAGGTATCCGTTTGTTCATTATGAATTAATTTCAAATAGGTTTTACCATATGTATGGCCAGTAAACAGACGATTTATAATTTTTATATATTTACTATCCAGATTTGAAGACTCAAACCAAAATTTTTTTGGTAATTTTGGAAAAATTTTAAAGAACCAATTTCCCTTTGACTGGGATGACTGAGAATATTCTTGTCTGCAAGCATCCTTAGGGGATATATGATTGTCAAACCATCCGTTATAGCAAGTTTTGCAAGGCTATCAGCTTTTTCGTTGAAATCCAACCCAATGTGGGATGGGCACCAACTGAAAACAATGGATTCAATATGCGAATTTTGAATTAATAGAAAAATTTTTGAAATTAAAAAGTTACCATCCAAATGTTTATTTAAAAGAACACAAGCATTTTTGCTATCAGTAAAAATTAAAGCTTTTGATATACCTTCATCGACGATTAATACAATTACCTTCAGAATTGCGTATAATTCTCCTGTTAGAGAGGAAACTTTTGACTCAAAACGGAAAAGTGCAGTATTTTCAGATGAAACGTTATAGACTGCCATAGCAGTAGTGGTGTGAGTTATCGAAGCATCAGTGACATAGATGGCATAGCCCTCTCCGCTATATGCATTCAAGGCCTCAAGATAAAACGGGCGGAATTGGTCCAAATTAGCAGACTGTTTACCAAAAGGGGAGATTTTAATTTTCACCTCAATTTGAGCCGGCCGGGGACAATTTTGCAAAATGCCAATAGTATCAAATATATCCCTGAATTTGTGGTACGTCGTAGACAGGCTGGATTTCATGGTGTAGTTATTGGTGATCTTATCATAGGTGTCCTTCCTATAGATTTTCAACTTGATGAGTTCTTTGGCAGTGAGATACAAAGCCCGTTTATCTGGCGGTAATTGGATCGATAACGCATAAATAGACTGTACAGGAGTTGAGGGAGTGAGTCCAAGTGACCTTCTCAATAGGTTATTTTGGAAAGACGTTAATTTTTTATTAATATAAGAAGGTGAGTTAGATGTCGTGGTACGAGCATATTCAGCCTTCGAGAAAACTAGACTTTTAGAGAGATTCAGAGCTATCTTAGGGTTTATACCAGCTTTAATGGGAGTTAACATTTTAATGGCATTTATAGCAGCCTTGATTTAATTATTATGTCATCATAATGTTCTTTAACTGTCAAACTTTTATTAAGGTATCGGCCTAAAAAGTAAAATCACTTGACGTTTTCAATAAGATTTCCATCTATAGAAATTTTTACCTCCTTACGAGATCCTTTAGCCAGGTACATAACTTTTGTTTTTTTCCAAATTAATAGTGAGGTTGAGCAAAAGAGCATTTTCCTTGAATTTTACCAATTTCCGTTGAAGATTGTTGACCGCAGTGTCAAAACATGGATTAGAAGATATGATTATAAAATCATCAGCAAATTGAAAGATTTGGGTCTCAGCGTCCTGTAGGTTGTGAAGATGCATCGTATATATATTAAATAGAGTAGGGCTGAGGCAGCTACCTTGTGGTAGGCCGTTTGAGACTTCCACGTCCTCATTCCCCATGGTGAGTATTCTTCTTTTTAGAAAGTTAAGTATCCACAAGGTAATATGATCCGGACAGTTTATATTCTTCAAAATATTATAGAGTTTGGATAGGTTAACGCAATCATAAGCCTTCGAAATGTCGAGCGAAACCAAGACAACTTTTTCATTTCTTTCTTTAGCACAACCAATAAAATGTATAATTTCATTTATGCATGAACTCGCAGAGAAATGTTTTCTGTAAGCAAAAGAACGATCAGGGAGAATTTTAGCTGCATCCAGAAATCCGTAAGTCTGGTTTTTACCATAAGATTTATAATTTTTTCAAAGACAGATATTAGGGCGATAGGTCTGAAATTGGTATAAATCTCCAGATCCTTATTCCTTTTAGGAATTGGAATAATTTTAATCCTCCTCCACGCATCTCTAAAAGTTAGTGATTTCCAATTTTCATTTATAGCTACTAATAGGTTTTTAATAGAATGAGGTTGTAGCGATCTTACCATTTCATACGTGACCATGTCAAAACCAGCAGCCGAGGGTTTAGATTTTGTCTTAAGTACCAGAGTCAATTCATCCATAGAGAAAGGTTCAACAAACGATGAACTATCCATTTGGGGAAGGGATAAAGTGTCATCACTAATTACTTGGTCCTTGAGATGAGTTAGATAGAGCCTGTTATTGTCAGGATTCCACTTATTTCGCAGATTTTCCTGTCCAGCATTTTTGCAGTTATTAACAAAACGAAAAAGAAGTTTTGGGTTTGGGTTGGCATTTAGATCATTTATTCTGCCGGTAAACGAATCGTTTTTGGCTTTTCTGATGGAGATTTTAAAGTTTTTGATGGCTTCAATAAGAAGTAGAGAATTTTCCATGGACTTGTATTTGTTGAAACGTTTCTGAGCAGCGATTTTTATTCTATGAAGTCTTGTCAGTGAAGGATTCCACCATGCTTTGGGAGTGTGTTTATCTCCAAGTAAATTATATGAGGATAACTTGAGAGCATTGCTAAAGTTGTCCTCGATATCATCAAAATCTGGTTGAATAAGAGTGTTAGATATGGTGTTAAGTAATTTTCTCTTCGAAATGAACTTAGTACCTTTGCCTCGAATCGACTCGATTTTAACCATAACCGGAAAATGATGGCTGCCACCAATAACCGCTTGATGAGCATTCCATTCGATAGATAACATAGAATTAGTAAAAGTTAGATCCAGAAATGATCCCTGACATGCCGGTCAGGCTTTTTACGGAGTTGCATATCACTCGTACTTTTGTGATGCATTACTTTGTGTAACTGTACATTGTCAGCCTTATGCTGTCGAATTGAGGTTATATTTTGACTTAAAGACCCTGATGGGGACCATTAAAACTCAACAGTTTTTACCACGTGCATCGATTCTGTAACTCTCGCATCGAGAAATTTCTTGCATGAAACATTGAAATTGAAGAATAAACAATGTGAATTGAAACAAAATATCATTTCTCACATGAAAGTGTTTATGTAAATAATTTTTGTGAGATATGTCAATTTGTGAGTAAAACAGTTTTTGTAAGCAAATTTTGTGAGAAGTTTCTCGCATGAACAGTCAAATGAACTTACATTTTAAAACGGTGCGGAAAGTATTTTTTTAATTTTTAATTTAATTTATTTTCATATTAAACCTAGCCTGGCCATAATCGGTTATACCCCATTTACACATACACGAAATCTAGTACTTATGAGATTTCGAGCCAAATCTAGATGATTTTAACTAGATTTCCCATACAAAACAAAATCTACTTCGTAAATAGATTTCGTTAAAACCTACTCAAAATCTAATAGTTTTTAATGATGCAACTCTGTTTTCTCCTAAATAATACTAAAAAATACACAAGAAAAAAGAGAAAAACAAAACAAACAAAAAAAATTAAAATGTCGACAAAATTTTTTTAAATTGAAAAACTTGAATGAAAAGTTCATCTAATATTAAAGGTAATGTTATATTTAAATATTTATTTTTTATTATAAATAAAATTTTAATAAATATCCCATTTTTCCTTCTTATTTTTCATATCACACACTTTTTCGAGAAATATTAGAAAAAATTAAATCTTCCTAAATGTCAAGAAGAGTAAGTGTAAACGGTCTAGATTTGCAAATAGATTTTAATTGAAATCTACTAGATTTCGTGTATGTGTAAATGGGGTATGACAAATTTCTACTTAAATAATAGGTATACATAAAAAATTAAGAAAAAATAAAGTTTAAATTAAACTTTATTTCTATGAAATAATGAAAAAGTAATGTTGTTTTTATAATTAGTTAAGATTAAATTTAATTTTGTTAACTAATGTTTTGAAAATAGGAAGAATTTCGGATATACAGAATTAAAAGCTTAAAAAGTTAGTGGTCATAAATTTTGTGGGATAAATTGTTCAAAAATTAAATCAAAATTCGAAACAAAATCCAACACAGTTTAGAGAAACTTTGAAAAACTCTCTCTAGACCCTACATCGGCAGACAGTAAAAAATAAGTTCTCTTACTGGTTTTTATCGTTTTTTATACATGTGTAAGCAT